TGTTCTAGCTTGCCGTTTCTAGCACTCATACGACCGCTGACCAGTCTCGCCACATTTATAGCAAACCTTGTTCTCTGGCTTGTAGGGGCCTTTTGGCAGCTGAAGCTTTCCCCTTAGATGCCTCATTTGGGTGCGAGTTAGATCCAACTTCTCATGGATTTTGATTTTCCATTTGTCCCCTCTGAACTGTGGTTCATTTCCAGCCACTAGTTTGACTTTTTTTCAACTTGGTTTCAGCCTTTAAGGCTATTTGATAAGCCTCATCAAGACTGAAAAATCCTGTGTAGAATTAGTTTGGTTTGAATTTGAGGTTTCAGTCCATTTGCCTTGCAACGAGCTGGTCATCACCTTCATTGACTTTGTTTTGACTCATACGGAGGAAGAATTCATTTGTGTACTCCTGGACACCCTCCTTTCGCCGCAAATGATGGAACCGTTGAGACAATTCTTGTGCATAACCAGTAGATACAAATTGCCCCTTAAGACGACTTCATTGTCCTCCAAGTCTTTTCTTTCCCTCCTCGCACTCGACTGACCTGCATCGCCATATTTGAGCATACCCCTGGAGTAGAGTAGCCAAAAATTTGCTTTCCTTTCTTCCGGTAAATCATTCCACTCGAAAAAAACCTCCACACTGTCTAGCCAATCCGAGAATTCACCAGTTGAAATTTCCCAAAAAATTCAGGGGCATCCACTCTCACTCCTTGATCCAATCCGGCTAGGGCACAAACCAACCTATCCCCCAATGAAGGGTTGTCCCTTTTGTAATGGAAAGGACTTATACTTTCTTCATTTGATTCTTCACTTTCATGTGTAACCAAGTCTTGTTCAAAGTGGGCTAGACGACCCACCAACTGCTCCATTTCATTGGAATCTCCTTGACAATTCTTCATATTCTGCCCTTGGCACAGCACTTCCTCTTTCTCAGCCCCCATGGTTCCACGCCTTCCTCTATTGGCCATATCTCCAGGTCCAAAAAGAGAGGATTCCTGTTCTTATACAACTTGATGTAGAACAGAGAGAAAAGAGAGAGAAATAGCTCAAAATCAGGTTGATCTCAACTACGATTCATTGATCATGGGCTCAAGCTAACAAAGCCTAGCTTCAATGACTTGTCTAAGGGTCCAAAAAAGCACCCCAAAATGGGAACTTGGTTCCTAATTTCTGGAATTTTACAGCAAAACACATTGATTCCAGCAGGGTAATGTGTCCCTCTTTTAATAAACTTGGCTTGGCTTCTAAGTCAAAGCCCTCTTAACTTTCCTAGGAACAATAATGGACTCTACCTTTTCTCAAGTCATGCGAAATACCTTTTCCAAGCCATGCACATTTAAAGTTTCTAGGAGTATTAATAGATACTATCTCCATGCACATCACTTCCTAAGGAAAACTTTAAATTCAAATTCTAATATTTCCCTCCTAAGTTTTCCCATACTCAAAATTTAAATGGAACCCCCTGTCTTTTCTGTAAATTCCAGAAATGTCCATTACAAAAAAAATACCCAAAATACCCCTCAAAAACTATAGAGAAAATGCAGCCCACAAAATGTCAACAAAACTTTCTTATTTCTTCATCATTTCCCAAAAGGAAAAGCGACAGACGATAAAGTGGGCATACAATGTAATAATCCAAGTCAGATGGCACCATAGATTATACAAGACGAAATTGGACACCAAAGGATAACACACAGGCCTCTGAAATGTGTATCCTTGAGAAATTCACACTAGCTGCCAAATAGCAAGTTTTCTAAAAGAAATTAACATTTTGCAGCTTGACATTAAAATACATTTTACATGGAAATCTAGAGGAAGCTTACATGGATATTCAAGTCCCACCCTGACTACAATCAAAATTTCAACGGGTTATTTGTAGTCTAAACAAGAGCTCCTTTGTCCTAAAGAACGAACAAATGGTTGGCCTTCAAATATTCATAGCTCAAAGAAAGCAAGTTCAGTTTGGAAGTTCAGCAATGCGATGTAGAAAGCTGGTTTTCACAAAGCAAATGTGAATCATTTCCAATTTGTCGGAAACCCTAGCAAATGAATGAATGACATACCAGTTCCCAGATGGTACAGTCAAGGAACTTAGGAGTGGAAAAGTAACTTGCATTGAAAAAATCAGCATTAGCTCCAAGTAAGGTCTAATTGAATTGAGATTGCCAACTCAAAGGCAAACCAAGGGACTTCATCCCAAAGGAAATATGAAATGAACCATTTAACAAAGAGCAGACTATTACGACCAAAACCAAGCAGAATTTATGAAATCATTTACCAATTGATGAAACAAACCATATGAGGAACCCACTAACTAACCAACACTTGTTGGAAGACTAAATAGACTTCCACTAACAAGACTAGAGAACCAGAAATGTCCAATGCAACAGGAATAAATAGCATCGTCATCACCATCAGTATCAACATCAACAGTGCCTTTTTCCAATTATTTGGGGTCGGCTACATGAATCCTAGTCCGCTATTCTGCTCTATCAAAAGTAATACCCTCAATAAGGCCATAAGTCCCCACACATTTTCTCACTACTTCCAACTATATCCTTTTGGCCACCCCTTACCCTTTTTAAGCCTTCCACTTGAACTAACTCGCACCTCCTAACAGGTGTTGTATTGGGTCTGCGCTCCCCATGGCCAACCCACCTAAGTCTACTTTCTCTCATCTTATTACCTATTAAAGCCACACGTAAGTTCTCCCAAATGTATTCATTTTGAATTCTATCCCTTCTTGTCTTGCTACTCATCCATCTCAACATCCTCATCTTAGCTACACTCATTATATGCATATGTTGTTTCTTAACCGCCCAACATTTCACTCCATAAAGCAAATCTAGCCTCATAATTATTCTATAAAACTTGCTCTTCAGCTTCCTTGGCATGCAACAATCACATAAAACTCTTATTGCACATCTCCACTTCGCCACCCAGCTTTGATTCTATGTGCGACATCCTCGTCAATCACTTCATCTCTCCATTTTCCTAGATTATCAATTCAAGATGTCGAAAGTGCACTCTTTATTGTATTTCTTGTCCGTCAATCTTAACTACTTCATTGTCTCTACTCCTATTGTTACTAACTTGCATTCTATATACTTTGTCTTAGTCCGGCAAATTTTAAAACTTTTAGATTCTAGAGCATCCCTCCAAAGTTCTAACTTTGTGTTAACACCGCTTTGGGTCTCACCGATCAAAACTACGTCGTCCGCAATCAACATGCACCACATGAATAAATAGCATATCCCCAAGAAAAATCTTAATAAGAAATCGCATAAAAGCTTAAGCCTCAATCAATATTTCAGTTCATAACTTAATTTATGTAGGCCTCTGTTATCATCACTTGTCAATAAGATACTTTCAGTGATTCTTGGAATTTCCTTTATTGAACATGGGAGTCACAGTGAAATTCTTTTGAAGTTTTTCAGAATACTGAACTCCAAAAGGATGAATTATAAACATACATATTAGACTTTTTTGTGCTTAGTCATTTTTATGATTTTTTAGATGTAGCACTAAACTAATAAACGAAACATGTAAAAATCAGTTCAAGAATTTCTTTGAAAAATAAACTTTCATTTTATTAGAACTTGGATCTTTTGATTTTTATTTTTTATTGTATTCTTTTTCTAGGCCAAGCCCACCAACCCTTGGAGGGTGGCCTTTTCTGATTCAATGACTGATAATGTGTCAATAAAGTTCATGCAAAAAAGTAATAAATGGGTAAAGAAAACCAATATATGGCATTGGTCGATATATATATATATATATATATATATATATAGTAAG